GAGTGAGCTGCAGAGTTAGAGCCTGTTCCTCAGTGGACGCTGGGTCAGTGCTAGTTCTGCTGAGTGAATGTGTTTAAGTCTTTGCTGCACGCAGGACAGAATGTCCAGAACAAACACGGCTATCCATCTAATCTAGCATCTCTGCTCTGCTCCCACTGCAGCACTAATTAAACGCTAAGAGCACTGCAGCTCCGCAGCCTGGAGGCCTCTCAGCGTTTCTCACGGGCCACATCAAACCTCGGCATCTCTCGGTCTGAGCTAGGCAGGGGTCAGTCCACTCTGGACCAGTGGAGAACCCAGCCACTCTAAAACATATACACAATTTTGTGTTTGATATTTTATAATCCAAAAAATTAGATATCATCACTACTTGCACCACATCTATATAATTTCTTATTAAACTCGATTATTCCCTTTTATCTTTTATTTACTGTATTATTTGTTCCTTTGTCTGTGTTAAAGGACCTATATCATGCACAAAAAGGTTCTTCAAGTTCTTTAGTAAAGACAGTGGTTCTATATAGAACCATGAACACTGAAAGAACCATTTGCATGCCTAAAGGGTTCTTTGCATGGTGTAATTGTTCTTCAGATTGATGGAGAATGTGATGTATATTCAAAAGGGTTCTATAAAGCACCAAAAGTGTTCCTCTATTGTTACAAGCTTGACATCATACACAACAGCAGAACCCTTTTTGGTGCTACATAGAACCATATACAGCACATTCTCCATCAATCTGAAGAATGAAGAGAACCATTTAAGCATGCAAATGAGTGTTCATGGAACTATATAGAACCACTTGTCTTTACTAAAGAACCCTTAAAGAACCATCTGTTTTAAGAGTGTGGAAAACTACATTTTTCTAGCTTCTTTCAAACAGAAGAGTTTGATGTTGAATATAAACACTGAGTGTGTTTACATGCACTCAATAATCCGATCATAATCAGATTTCTGCACTCATCAGATGATTCAAGTGATCATGTAAACACTACACTCCGATCTAGAAATCTGATTAAGGAATCTGATAAAGAGGCTGGATTTTAGCTCAGTAATCAGATTTCTCAGCGCATGTAAACTCTTACTCTGATTTCTTTCAGATTTCTCAGTCTGCGCCTGCGCGAGATCAGACGGTGGATATTGCGAGACGCAGCAAAACACTGTTGGAGCGGCGCTGAAACCAAACATGAAATAAAGGATTTAAATATTTTTCATCTTCTAGATGATTTAAGTTCATATTTTCAGGTAAAGCGGCGCGATGTTTAAAAAAAAAAGCCACTATCTGGCCCACAAAAGTATTATTTTCTATTAATATTAGCCTGTTTCACAATGTGCTGCACCACAGTCCCCAGCATGCACTGCAACGTAATGTGTGACTCTCCTACCCCAACAACAGTCTATGGGACAGCGGTTACACCTCAATTCCACACCAGTCATATCACCAAAATGCATTTCAGCTGCAGTTCAACCAACATGAACACTGAACGTAGCTCAGCAGCTCAGAAACTGAGCCCAAGTCTTAATGAACCTTCCGCAAAGAAAAGATGTCAGGAGTCCAGTTCAAGCAGACAGGTAGGTTTAACAGACTGAGCTCCTGGGGACGTTTACATTTTCAATATTTCAAATATCCGTGTAATATTTCGAGGTGTACTACAAGTGTCTGTATTTTACTGTTGAAGTTTTTGCATATTTCGAATAAACAACGGCCTGTTCGGGTTACAGCACAACAATAATTAAAAATGAAGTAAAAACAGTTTTTACTCTGGACCACAGATTGGATGAGATTTTTTAATATGACTCTTTTAGCGGATGAGTTTGACACCCCTGGTCTAATGGATGAAGAGAGGATGGAAAAAGATGATTTCAGTACATAAAACCACACAAATGTTATAAGTGGAGGAAATAATAAAATACAGGAAATTCTGTGTGTAGGACATTCATTGCCCCCTTCCTGTGAGCTGAGGCCCAGGCTAATTCTTAGTGATCTTACTGTGAGTGTGAAAGTGATAATAGGAAAGTGACCTGAAAGTTCTTAGTGAAAGTGAGCGTCTGGGCACTGTGACAGGACCGGCGCGTGTCAGAGATGCTAAAGCGGAGCTAGAACCTCATTCTTGGTCTCTGACCAGAAGCGAAAGCGTCTTTTCCCGGCAGTCTGGGCTCAGCCTTCCGAACAAGCTGCTGATTCTGTTAGCAACTAGCAGAACCCATCTGTCCAGTGCTAACTAACCACAGAGCCAGCAACACACTTCAGCTACATTAGCACTGCTAATAATGAATGAAGCCTGTCATGGGCCAGTTAGCATTGTGCTAATGAGAGCATACTGTCTAGCCCTGACCAGCTGATTGTTAGCAAAGTTAGCATTTTTGGGAGGGAAATAAACTAAAGCTAAGAGAAATAAGCTAATGCTAATGCCATACTGCCATTCTGTCATCAAACCATTAAACGTTTCTGCTGGTTTTGCTGGCGTCTCTAATGGTATTCTGTGTTTTCCTGATGGGTTGATCTCACAGTGTAAATTTAATGGTCTAACAGCAGTTCTGATTCCAGATGCATTTGGTGGTTTCCTAATGGGATCTAAAGGTATCCTACAGGAAACTAGTGGTGTCTGTTATCAGGTTTTAATCTTAATGGTTCTAATGGTCATTTTTCAGCAGGGCAGTTAAAGATTAACTTCAGTGGGTGTAATGAGATTCTGGTATATGAAGTACTGATTAAAAAAGCTTCTTAAAGGTCTAAATACTACAGTTCATGCAGTTATTAGTATATTTGATGTCTGAATTTGACCGTTTCTACTGTAAAATGTTTTCTTCCGAGCTTTTGTTTCAAGTTTAGAACTTAGAACTTAGAACTTAGTTTGAACCGCCAGTTGGTTGCTGTTGCAGACTCTATTTAACCGGTTTTCATTTTTATATTCTCAGTATCTGGACTGTATTCTGACCTCCCGATGAGGCTCACACACAGCTAACAGGCTTACAGGCTGCTTTAATAATATTCAGAAACAGGCAACAAAAGTGATGCTAAAAATGCAGATAAATAAGGAAAGCTACACATTTTCCTGTTACAAGCTTCACGTGTCCCTGTTTATGCTAGAATGGGTATCTAGTTAGCTAGTGCTAACACTACAAATTCCCATAGGGATGCTAGCCGAAATTAGCTTTAGCGACTAATTAAAGGCTGTTTGTAAAGTGAATTACAAGGTTTCTGCTATATAATGAAACACAACTGGCAGATCTTCATGATTTCATGACTGTTTCACAGCATAAACAGAACTAAGCAGTTCATAAAATGAGTGGAATATATTACACTCGAATACATACAGATCTCAAAACAATCATGAAAAAATGTACACGACCACTTAATAATCTGATCATTATCGGATTTCTGCAGTTCTCTGATTATTAAGCGGTCGTGTAAACACACACTCTGATTTCTCAGATCAGATTAAGGTCGATAAATCTGATTAGTAAATCCGATAAAGAGGCTGGATCTGAGTCAGTAAAGGGGTTTCTCACTGTAAACTCTCACTCTGATTTCTTTCGTTTCTCTCAGTCTGAACATGTGTGAAAACAGACCGTGGTCGCAGAAACAGTGAGCAGCGTTTAACGCAGCACCCGCGAGACCAACACAGCATTAGTGGAGCGATGCTGAAACCAATTACTCGCTCGACCAAATGAAGGAGTTAAATATTCTTCATCTTTTAGATGATGATGTTCATATTTTCCAACTCAATGTTTAAAAAAAGCCGCTCATGTTTCAGTTTGACGTACATTTATGTCACGTCTTATTCTGTGAGTTTATTGGCTGGTTGTAAAGCAGATATTCAATTACTGCCCAACTCATGTAGACCCAGAGTTTCCCCATTATCTGATTACCCAAGAGCGTGAAAACACACTGAACCAGTTACTGATACAGTCTGATTTTCTGCAGTTATCAGATTATTAAGTGTAAACACACTGAACCAGTTACTGATACAGTCTGATTTTCTGCAGTTATCAGATTATTAAGTGTAAACACACTGAACCAGTTACTGACACAATCTGATTTTCTGCAGTTATCAGATTTTTAAGCGCATGTAAACACACTCACTGTCTCAGACCCATTTGGTGCCACATTTAAGTAATTAAGTTCTTGTTTTTTTCATTTGTAAAGCTGTAAAATACATTTAGAAACCCAATTTGGAACTTGCCTTGTTTATTTATGTATTGCTTTGTGTTTTTTGGCCCTCAGACCACCACAAACTGCACTTTGGCCCCCCAAGACAAAACATTTGGGCACCCCTGTCTTAGAGATATTAAAGTCTTGGGACGTCTGGTTCCTATCACCACCACTGTGAACAATTCTGAATCTGTAAGTTTATCTAGAACAGAGCATTTCACACCAAACCACTCTAAACCACTCTAAACCACTCTGAACGACTCTGTTTACATCTTAACCAGTTAATTATGCAGAGATTTTGAAAAAAGAGATTTAGCATTAGAGCTAAAAATGTATAAACGTACAGAAAAAAAATCAGGTTTCTCTGCTGTTTTCTGTGATGTTGATGTACTTTAGTCTATGTTTACAGTGTGTATTAATGATTACTTAACATCTCAGCACAGTTTGATGAAAATATGTGATGAATTAGGCAAACTGCATAATGATTGGCTGGACTATAGCAAAAATTCAGAGTCAGGCCCCTCCTTCAGTAAAAATACTGGACCATGATTTTGACTAAATAACATTTTTTTTGTAGCTTCACATATAAACACAGGACATTACACACAACATCTCCATATTGCACATAAAGGCTGTGAGTGTATTAGAATAATGCATATAATATAAATAATAAAATCAGCCCCATGAAGCTCTTTCACCCACAAACATCACAGAGCTGAATGACAATGACAGTGAAGTGAAACAGCAACGCTAATGAATGGACCTGAACTAAATCCATCCCATAATTCCTTTCTGACACACACATATGATCCGAGACTCTATAATAAAGCAGGATTAATAACTTACTCGTATGAAGCTCTCATTCATCTTCTGGTGCTACAGGAATCCTCAGCACTACAGTATTTTACTTCCTACCCGCATTGCGGCAGGCCCCGCCCTCCTGCGCTCGGATTCGCCAAGAGGCGGACTGCTTGTGAGTGCGAATAAATAGCCAATCCTGTAACGCGGGGGGGCGGGGCTTGGTGTCTGGAAGCAGCCAATGCGAGCGCGACGGGGCGTGGCTTGTCGGAAAACGGGTGTGTATTAAAGCAGCACGTTTCATTGAGGAGCGCTAACGCCATTCACACAGAGCGACAGTCAGAAAATAAACACACAAACAAGTAAACACAAACAACCGCGCTGCTCTGCTCATCCGCACGCGCCCGTGTGAAACAGTGTAAAACAGCTTGTAGCATTAGCTCTGTTAGCTCGTGCGCTCTCATTCATATCAGCGGCTCTGTGTGTGTGTGTGTGTGTGTGTGTGTGTGCTCCAGAGCAGTGAGTCATACTAGAACACACACACTGCTGAGTGGATGGAGGGATGAAGGGATGAATGGAGGGATGGGTGTATGGATGGATGAATGAATGGAGGGGTGGAGGGGTGGAGAGATGCTCTTACCTGCAGTGGTGCTGATGCTGAGCTAAACCAGCATCCTGAAGAATTCTACAGTGAAGAAGATCCACTACAGCAGCTACTCTCTCTCTCTCTATTCTTTCTCTGTATCTCTCTCCCTCTTTCTACTCCCTCTCTCTACTCACTCTGTATCTCTCACCCTCTCCCTCTATCTACTCTCTTTATCTCTCTTTCTCTCTCTGTATCTCCCTCTCTCTACTCTTTATCTCTCTCTCTATATATATATATCTCTTTCTATTCTCTCTTGCTCTATTCTTTCTGTATCTATCCCTCTACTCTTTTTATCTTTCTTTATCTCTTTCTCTCTAGTCTCTCTGTATCCTTTTTTCTCTCTCTGCCTTTCTTTCTGTCTCTATCTTTCCACTCTATTTTATGTTTGAGATCAGTATTAAACAATTAAATAATAATAATAATAATAATAATAATAATAATAATTAGTATGAACCAGTTATAATAGTACTAATAGTACTACTTATTATAGTACTAATTATTATAATTGGTTTTTAATAATAGTAAGTTCTGTATTCTCACTGCTCTCCAGGCAGCACACAGATCTGTTCAGTTCAGTCACCTGATCGGTTCAGTGAAGTATTGATTGGATAAAGCAGGTGATGGGTGGTAACTGTAAATACTGGAATTCCTCAAGGAGACAGCAGGAAATGGTTAAGATAACACACACTGACACACACACACACACACACACTCACACAGACACACTCACACACACACACACTCACCCACACTTTTACTCATACACACACACACACTCTTACTCATACACACACACACACTCACCCACACTCACCCACACACACACACTCACACTCACACACACACTCTTACTCATACACACACACACTCACCCACACTCACCCACTCACACTCACCCACACACTCTTACTCATACACACACACACTCACCCACACTCACCCACTCACACACACACACACACACACTCACACAGACACACTCACACAGACACACACTCACAGAATAAGCAGAAAGGCTACATTTTGTGTGGACTTTTGTCTAGTTGTCTTTTTTTGTCTGGTTTTGTCTGGACTTGGTGTAAGGAGGAGGATTGTTTTAATTTATTTTATTTATTTATTTGTTATTTTATTTATTTTAAACACAAAGTCCAGTAGACGGAGAGTTAGGGAACTTTTATTTTGGAGAATTCTTCATTCAGGCTTAAATTAGCCAGCTAAGTGAGAAATGCTTTATGGTCTTTATGGTCAGTGATTTTCAGCTGAGTGTCATTCAGATGGAGATGCAGTGATGACAAATGAGTTTGTCTCCCTCTAGTGGTTACCTTCAGCACTACAGAATGAAAACTACAAATGGACTACAAGTCCCAAGTGCCTTCATAACAGACAGCAGGAACCTGTTATTTATACAGGTATGAAGATATTTTGAGGTGAACTGGTTTCTTGCACATTTTTAATCTTTAATCTTATTAATAACACAGACTGAGGAATAAAGAGCTCATCTCACAGGTCAGACTGTGCTGAGTTTTATGGGGCGAATGCAACACAAACATGTACATCAACAATAAAGTTCACACTGAGATGAATCTGGAAACACCTGCTGTCTCAGCTCAGCCGCCGCTCCGTCAGGCTCAGTTACAGCTTCACATTAACTACAGTTCTGTGTGCATTTCCTCCAGAGAGAGTCAGGACAGCCGGACAGCGCGTCTGTTAGAAAGGTTACAAAGGCAGATTAAACGAAATGAAATGTGTTTGGAGGGAATCAAAGGCACCCAGGTGAGAAAACATCTAAACAGCATCATCATCTTCATGTCACGTCCGCAGAGTCATTTGTTCTTATCGTCTGCCATCAAGTTAAAGCCTGAAAAAGAAAGAGGGACAAAGATTAATCACTGAGATTCAAGAGTTAATCATTATCAATGTTAAAAATCAATAGTGTGTTCCAGGAGTGTAGATATGAGGAGGTGTTCCTAATAAAGTGCTCAGTGAGTGTGTGTGTATAAATACACCGATCAGGCATAACATTCTGACCACCTCCTTGTTTCTACGCTCATTGTCCATCTTATCAGCTCCACTGACCGTATAGTTTCACTCTGTAGCTCTACAGTTACAGACTGTAGTCCATCTGTTTCTCTGCATACTTTGTTACCCTGTTCTTCAGTGGTCAGGACCCCCATGGACCCTCACAGAGCAGGTACTATTTGGGTGGTGGATCATTCTCAGCACTGCAGTAACACTGACGTGGTGGTGGTGTGTTAGTGTGTGTTGCGCTGGTCTGAGTGGATCAGACACAGCAGTGCTGCTGGAGTTTTTAAACACCTCAGTGTCGCTGCTGGACTGAGAATAGTCCACCAACCAAAAATATCCAGCAGACAGCGTCCTGTGACCACTGATGAAGGACTTGAGGATGACCAACACAAACTGTGCAGCAGCAGATGAGCTATCGTCTCTGACTTTACATCTACAAGGTGGACTGACAAGGTAGGAGTGTCCTCTCTAAAACTCTCAGACGCTGCAGACTCGATCTCCACCGCCCCTCTGATCACCTTCGTGTGTTAATGTTGATGATGAAATATCACAGTGATGGTGGTGAATAATGAGGAGGCGGAGCTGAACGTGTGTCTGTTTATTAGGAGGAGTAACGTTAGCGCGCTCGGCTAAAGAGTTTGGGAAATGGAGACTGAAACTGGGGAGGGGCGACGCTCTGATAAACAGCAGGGGGCGCTCTCACAGTATTCACAACTCACAGTGTATCACACTTTAGTTTGACCTTTTTTACATCAGTCACAGCAGCCTGACTCACATTTTTACTGTTAATTTGATTACGTGTTCATGTTTTTTTCATCAGTCCGGCTTTTCTTGCCTTTTATAAACACCCATCATTACATTCCTCTTTGAAGCTCTTGCTCAAAACGCTCAAAGGTCAGTGTGTTATTACCATAAAGCCATAAACGTGAGAGGAAGTGAGTCACGGACTGAGACTGTGATCAGAGGCAGATACTGAGATGTTTTACCTTCTGCAGCCGCGGCCTGAGCTGCACTCTTGGCCTTTCCGCTCAGGTCCTTCACCACTGAGTCGAACGCAGCCTCGTGTTTGAGGAAGAAAGGCCGAACCAGCCGAGTGTAGATGATCTGAGAGCCGTTCCAGGAGACGGGGGCCATGCACCACAGCAGGAACACGCACTGGAGGAGGAGCCGGAGCAGAGAACAGGCTTAAAATCACCTGAATGGACCTTTTTATCTTCAGTCATGCTCCAGCTCATAATAATCACAGTGTATCAGATTAATGGAACGCTTGGAAACTTCAACAATACTTACATACTACAGCAAACTCTTATTTTGAAAAAGGTGAATGTTTGTAATTGTATCCGGTGCAACAAGATGTAATTCAACTCTGCTGTAAGAATTACACAGTAATTTCATCTGTTCACTCTTACAAACGCTGGAAATCTCACAGCCAGACTACATTTACACCCAGAGTTTAGTCACCTTACAGCAGAGGTGCAACAAGGCTGGTTCTCTATAATATTGGCCCATTTTCTATTTGATTTTTAATATAACGATTAATTTTGTCACTTTTATAATGTATTAATACAAATGTAATGATATTTCATCATGTTTTAATCATGTTTATGTTTTATTTGAATTATCTTTGTATTTTCTCGTTTGTAAGGCACTTTAATGGCCACAGCCTATGAAAGATGTTGTATAAAGAAACTCACCTTAAAGGCTTTAAAAATGTTCTCGAATAAATGTTCTGGCCTAATGATTTTCACTGAAGACCCCGTGGAACCGCCTGACCTCTGTTTGAGTAGCGCTAGGTTAGATTCAGACCGATTTAGATCAGCCAGGACGTGTTTGGTTCTTTAGTTTTAGCACTGCAGCTACGGGGCTAACACAGCTAACAACAGCTAACATCTAATGTTAGCCTCTGTTAGCAGTTAGCATAGTGCTAACTGCACACCCAAATCATCACTCGCTCTCCTTCAGAGTGTGAGGAGCTGTTCAGTGTCTCTAATAGTCTGACTCTGTATGACTCACTGCTAACTATAAACATGGACTAAAGTACAGTAGCATAGCCGAACACAGTAGCAGGCGTTTGTAAGGCTAAATGTTGTCCAGTTGTAGACTTGGTGATTTGTTATTTTATTTATTTTAAGTCCAGTAAAAGGAGAGTTATAGGACTTTTATTTTGGAGAACTCTTTAGCCTTAAATTAGCCGGCTAACTAAGAAATCCTGCTTTATAAACAGACTAAATTCAGCTTGTTACTGTTTTCAGCTAAGCTAATGTACTTTAGTCCAGATCACTGAACGCTTGGCCCTCATACTGACGAAATCTGTGTTGTGCAATCAACTAAAACCACAAATTTCCAATGAATTACTGCAGAAATCACCGGGACAGGTTGGCACATCTCAGCTCAGGACCGACAGCATTCCTTTAAAACATCTACTGAACTGAAAATATAAACAACCAACCACAAAACCAAAA